GGGGGGGGGGGGCATACTGGACACCCCAGCGCTGGGTCATTCAGGGCATCCTGGCCATCTGAGTTTTGTGGCCCTCTGGGATGGCTTCCAGATTTTTCTCTAACCATTTTAATTTCTGAAGGGAAAGAGGTGAATGAAAATAAAGAACACAAGCATTGGATAAATTTTGTTTCCTTATTTGAGCATCAGGAAATTGGTCTTTTCCTCGCAGAGAGGGATCTAAATGTAAGGGGAGTTTTCAAAACGACTGAAATGATCCACCTACTAGGCAGGGCTGAATCTTTTCCCATATTTGCCACAGAGTTCTCAAAACAGATGCAGCATTATTAGGCAAACATACTCAGAAGGAATTGATATTTAAAAGCCCTCAGTAATGACTTAGAAAACTCTTTTCTCCAAGTAACTCACCCCAACTTTATAAGTCATTTTCCTTCTCTTTTCTTTGGAGGACGTGCATTCATGAGACAAACGTAACACTTCCTCAGACTTCAGGACGCTCTCTGTCAAATGGCTCCAGAATTACATTCATTAAAAACAAGATGGTTGGGGCGCCTGGGTGGCGCAGTCGGTTAAGCGTCCGACTTCAGCCAGGTCACGATCTCGCGGTCCGTGAGTTCGAGCCCCGTGTCGGGCTCTGGGCTGATGGCTCAGAGCCTGGAGCCTGTTTCCGATTCTGTGTCTCCCTCTCTCTCTGCCCCTCCCCCGTTCATGCTCTGTCTCTCTCTGTCCCAAAAATAAATAAACGTTGAAAAAAAATTAAAAAAAAAAAAAACAAAACAAGATGGTTAACACATTCGAGTCTTTTCTGCTAGACTTTAAGGGTAAAACCAAATTGATCAAATAGGGGCCAAATGATTAAAGGAATCTCAATATTCTTCATCATATCACATCAGAAATCACTTAATTTCCCCTTTTCTTTCTCTGCTTTCAAAAATAAGTGACATTGACCATATGTAGGCATTTCAGTGTTTCATGAGTTGGTTGCTAAAAGGACATGTAACAACATTCCGTAGGATCACAAAGCCTGCTTTGTGCTACAACATAAGCAATTTCTGCCCATGCTTTCAATGTGTGTGTATATATGATACAAGGCATGTGAGTGTGAAACCTTCAATGCCACCAAGGTAAGAAGTATTTTGTTGAACTGTTCATAGTCTGAGAGGTCGCAATAATTTCTTTCCTTGCACAATTATAAAATAGCACTCGCCATTTTGCTTTTCAAATTAGCAACAAGTAGCTTGTTTAGAAGGCCGGGGATCAATTTTTCTCCAGCCAGTCATTGGCAGGAAGCATGTGGGTCACTGAAGCATGTGGGTGATATGCTGAACCACTAAGCTGGCAAATATTGAACTATTTTAAGTGCATCTATTTTCTAGCTCAGTAAATTTTCTTGTTGTATTAAATTCATTAAACCTGACACAGTCTAAATGCCACAGCGCATCCTGGAGAGCGCGTGAAGGTAACAGCACCAGCCATCAGAGACAGCCGTAGATAAAGATCGATATATTTTCTCTCAGTTTGTGTTTAATTGTTACTTTCATATTAAGCCTGAATTTTTTTTTTAAGGTTAGAAACTATCGTATGACTTGGAAAGTCGAGTTGAATCTGGTTATTTTCTGAAAATGTGAAGACAGGTTTCTTTGTCAGTCGATTGCCCTCCAAACCACAATCCTGGAGATGATGACACCTGAGACCTACAGGTCAGGATCATTTAATAACTTGAGAGACACAGAAAGAACCCTCCATTATCCACAGTTCAGGGGAATTGAGTAGTTCGGCAATCTGCAAAAACATTGAACCAAGGTCATGCTCAAAGATTGAAAATGAAGATTTGATATTAATTATTCTTTATTTGGAATTGAAATTCTCAAAAGAATCAAGGTTTTGGAACATGAACTATTATTTTGATTTGACATACTTTTTTGGGGGGGGGAGGGTTATTTGTTATTCTTAAACATTATTTTTTATTTTTCTTTAACAAGGAGTAATCATGGCAATTCAGAAACCCCGTGAAAGGTGTACTGTACAGAGAATCTTCATTGCAACTTGCGTTGTAACTATCAAAATTACGAAATCGATTTTATACTCCATACGAAAAATTTTCCAGTAATTTCTCTCAGCAAAATAGAAAACAAAGTCATCTCTCACAGAGAACTGTGAAACCAGAAACCCCAAGCACAGGTAGAGAATAAAGATCCAGGGGCTAAATTTGGTTCTTTAAAGCTTCTAGAACACACAGGGCAGAAGAGACGCAGCCGTCGAAGTTGGACTGGGTGAACCCATCCCCTCCACACACAAGGAAAGGTTCCCGATGAAGAGTCAATTGGCCATGAGAGTTGGCAGGAGCACTTATCACCTAAAAAAGTTAAAAACAACAACAACAGACAAAAGGATTGCGATTGACGTTCTCTGCCCCATTACACCGTGATGTCAACACTCACCCGGGGAGGAGTTCTCTACCTGCAGAAATCACGCTTGCTCTCAAGGAACAACGGCGCACAAAACGAGGACCCCTAAACCCCTCCCCTCACCCAAGTATTTACACTGACCTTCTTAAATGTCGACATTTTCAGGTGGTTGATACACTTAACCCAATGTGTTGAACTTCAAAAATAGTAGGTCACGATATGCTCAATTAGTTGAGGGTACAGCATTTTTTTGATAAGGGGGGGAATGATATTTGTGAAATCATTTACCTATTATTGGGTCCCGGCTATGTGCTAGACAAGGTAAACAGAGCAGAGATTTAAGGACTGTATCCCGAAGGACTTTCCAGCCCAGCACGGTCTGCTAGCACATAACAGTGTCTAAGGGCTAAGACAGGGTGAGTAAGAGGGTGCTACCTTGGGGTGGGAGGGGTGCCCAACCCTGCACAGCCGGATAAAGAAACCTTCAAAGGGGAGGTGACGGGTCATTTCACTTGAGTTCTGCCGGATGCATAGGAGTTTACCAGTGTAGGAAACAGGCCTTTCCAAAGAGATTGAGTAGCATGTGCAAAGACCCCATGGGCAAGTCCATGGGCAAGAGAGAACAATGTGTGTTTAGGAAACTGTGGGGTTGGTCACACTGTGTGTGTGTGTGTGTGTGTGTGTGTGTGTGTGTGTGGTAGGGCTAATCAGAGGAAGGGACACGGCTGAAAGGCAAGTTAGGAGGCATTTAGTGTTTCAAAATTAAAATGTATAAAACTTATAAACACAGGTCTATTAAAAATGTAGAACTGACTTACTAATAAGCCAAAAGGGAGAGAATTAGCTGAAGTCTGGGATTTATTTTATTTTATAGAACCAGGTTTATAACATTTGAAATGGTGAAAAGGGCATAGAGGTTATTTCCTGGAGAAAAAAAATATATATTCTCAGACTTGGGATGAGTGTTGCTAATAAGCTTTGAGAGCTGGGAGAGTGAGCCGGGTGGTGGGGGGTGAACAGAGTCGTTTTGGACACTGAGATGATTTGGCCCCTAAAGCACCCCAAGCCCCTAAAATGCAAATCACACAAACTTATTATAAAGGCACTCTCTGGGCGCCTGGCTGGCTTGGTTGGTAGAGGATGTGGCTCAATCTCAGGATTGTGAGTTCAAGCCCCACATCGGGGCTAGAGTTTACTCAAAAAATAAATATATAAATAAAATCTCTTCCCCTATGAAAAAAAAGGCAATCTCATTTGGGGTTGCTTCCCGGCACAACTTCAGGGGATGCCATTCACACAGACGACAACGTGGCAGTTCTGGTCTCTTACACGTTTTCACGGAAAGGAACAGACTAAGGCCCACGAAGATTTGCTATTTTAAAAATTACCAAAAACAAAAAATAATCAAGAAATATACCAAATACTATTTGGATTATGGGGCTGAGATTTGGTTCTAGATAGGTTGAGTTAGTACATGCTTTTACAACTTTTTAAAACCAGAAAAACTTTGCAGAGGTTTTTTAATTTACAGGCCATATTTTGCTTTAAAAAAGAGGTTGGGAAGGCGTCTGGGTGGCTCAGTCAGTTAAGCAACCGACTCTCGGTTTCGGCTCCCAGTTTGAGAGATCGAGCCCTGCACTGGGCTCTGCACTGACAGTGAGGAGCCCGCTTGGGGTTCTCTCTCTCCCCTTCTCTCTCTCTGCCCCCATCCCCCAAGATAAATAAATACACTTAAAAAAAAGGAAGTTAGGTACAATTATTCCTTTGTTGAATCCCTAAAGATATGGACGTTTAAAGTCCCGTGTTGCGCATATTCGATGTAAACTTTGAAGAGTGCCCTCTCACTTTTCTAGAGGCCATCTGACAGGAGCAGCACCTTTCATACACGTTGTAGATAATCTTTGTTTTAAATTATGCCGTAGTTTTAGCTTATTGTGTTTAATTGCGATTTCATTTTTTCCTTGCTTTATTGAGGTATAACTGACAAATAAAAATTGTATATATTTAAGGTGTACAACGTGATGTTTTGATATGTTCGTATACATTGTAAAATTGGTTTCATAATCAAGTTAACGTATCAGCTCATATAGTTTCCATTTTGTCTTTCTTTTCTTTTCTCCCTTCCTTCCTTTCTCTTTCTCTTTCTGCTTTTCTTTTTTCTTTTCTTTCCTTTCCTTTCCTTTTCTTCCTTCCTTCCTTCCTTCCTTCCTTCCTTCCTTCCTTCCTTCCTTCTTACCTTCCTTCTTTCCTCTCTCTCTCTCTCTCTTTCTTTCTTTCTTTCTTTTTTTCTTTTCTTTTCTTTCCTCTCTTCCTTCTTCCTCCCCCCTTCCCTCCCTCCCTGCCTTCCTTTTGGTGAATCACTTTATGATGTATCCTCTTGGTGAATTTCAAGTACACTATACAGCCTTGTTAACTACAGTTGTGTTGCTGTATGTTAGCTCCCCTGAATGGACTTGCTCTGTGTAACTGAAACTTCGTACCTTGGACCAGCATCCCTTTTTCTCTCCCACGGCTCCTAGCATTCACTGCTCTGCTCTCTGTTTCTATGGGTGTGACTATTTTAGATTCCGCATATAAGTGAGATCATGCATTGTTTGTCTCTCCATAGCTGAGGATCTTGAAATCAGCTGAAATGATCTTTGAGAGGCTCAAAGAGACAGCACAGAGGACAGACACTGAAGAACAGACCTGGGCGTTCAACCAGAACCTATAAACTCCTACTTCAGACAGAATTTAAACAGGTTGGATTATTTGATTTGTCGGTGAAATACTAAGGGAAGAACAAAGCCTTTAGGTTCTTATATATATTAATGACTTCAGAATGCGGTAACAAATAGTTTGAAAGCAAGGGAGGCTATAGGAACACTCAAAAACCAGATGAGGCTGGGAAGAAGCTTGGCAGTCTGGTGCCATTGAGTAGAGGGGCAAAGAATTTTTTGACTCTTAATGGGCCCTGAGGGTGCCTGCTATGTTTTCCTGCATTCACTAATGCTCATGATGATGCCCCAGTATCCAAGAACCAGTCCTAATATGCATAAGATATTACTTGTGAGCATTTCTCGAATGTTCACCACAGGCCAAATGCTTTACGTGTGCACCCGTTTCATGAACACAGCAACCCTGCAGGGTGGTTACGACTATTCTCATTTTATAGAGGAGAACACTGAGGCTCGGGAAGATTGTCACCTGCCCCAGGACAGAGAGCTAGGAGGTGAGGAAAAAGAGACTCAGATAGAGCAAGCAGACTCTGGAACTCATCTTTTTAACACTTTCAGAAACATTTCCACGAAGACGCGATTTAAATGAAACAAACACAAATGTGTGATACTCACTGACAGTTTTACGCATCTGGAAAACTCACATAAATGGGACAACTCATCCATATACGTGTGTACGTATGCACACGTGTATAATACAAAGGAATGCATGCACGTATGTATGTATAATTTTTAAAACAAAACAAAAAATTTGACAGCCTCTTAGCTTAATGCACCTAGAAAATTCACATAAATGGGATAACCCCTTCATATGTATTCATATATACATACGTGTGTGTGTCTATGTATAATGGAATTCTATTTGATGAGTGGCATTTTGAGTGGCAAATCCCAGATGGCAGGTCACGTGGCTGGAAGACCCGGCCACCCATGAGCCGGTCCGCAGTTTGGAGGAAATCAGTCTCCCTGCGTTGAGGTGCGACCGTCCATTTTGCAATCACCCAACAAGGAAAGTATGGAAACACGAAGCGTGTGCTCGCAAGTTCTTTCCCCTGAGTGATGTAGATGGCCCCTCGCTGGAGGGGCACGTGGTGGCCAAAGCCACAGGCTGTCACTGCGCTTCCAGCCACAGTGAGGAACCACAGCTCAATGGCTATGTTTCGGACGGGTGGCAGGGCTGAACTGCCCCCTTGGAAATCCAGGTTGTGTCTGGAGGGTCAGGGAGGGTCAGAAAAAAGTCCTGCTGTATCAGCTGACGCTCTGGGTCGCTAATGCAACGCTTCTATATGCTTCTGTGATGACTGGACCAGACATATAAATTCGAAGCAGAAAAAGGAGTTTTATTTCTAAGCTATCTTAGCCCCTGCGAATGTGTTTTACGCCTCTCTCCACCTGCGGCACAAAATGGAAACTCGTTGGCTCCCCGTGGAAGTCCTTCCATGACCATGTCTTCCCTCCATTCAAGCCTCCTCTCTTGTCCTGCCTCTCACCTGCGCCATGTGTCCTGTCTACATTCGCCCTGATCTTCTGCAGAAACGCCCTTCCTTGTCATGTTTCTGTGACTTTGAACGAGCCATCCCACGCAGTGACGTTGCAGTTCCTTTCTTCCCTGCCAAAAAAATTGCTCATCCCAAAAGAACTAACACAAATGTCGCCCGCTCTGAGGTCTTCGTGCCCTGAGAGGCAGGCTAAGTATCTTTTCAGGGTGTTGTTTTTATCTATGATGTTGCTTGCTAGTTTGCACTGTAATTACGTCCGGTCTTGTCTCTCTTCTAGATTGCGTGCTTCTAAGAGCAGGGCTTGGGATGCACTAATCCTTGCATCCAAGTCTGGGAACGGTGCCTAGCCCCTATTAAGTGTGCAATAAATGTTTATTGAGTTTTAAAAAAAGACAATATTGTACACACAGTTGATCAAATGAAGGTCTTCGCAGGGAACCATCTACACAAAAAGTGTTATTCAGAGGCTCCCACAGGGCTGGGAGCAGCTCAAATGGAAGAGATACTGTATTTAGAATGTTCTCAATAATGATGAATGAAGGGCTGTCCTCTCCTCGCGTCTCGGGCTGTGAGCTGCTTTATGTGAACATCTTGTGTGTCATGTATTAAGTGGAATCACACAAAGCTGCTGATTCTGTAGGTCAGGAATGCTAAATGTTGTCCGTTTTTATACAGTTTAACCTGTTTCTTCGTACCATGCTTATTAGCTATAATGATATACACAAAAAGTGT